ATGCTTTACATAAAACTTCTCTTACAAATTTTCATTCAAAAAGACTAATTTAATATTAAATTGATAAATCTATCATTTTTTCTAAGCTATCAATGCTAATACTATTTTAATTATTTCAATTCTAGCAATTGGAGAAAAAAATTATAAAAAATCGATACATGAAATTTGAGTATACTCTTAACAACTAAGCAAGCTTTATGTTTTTTCAACTAACTATCAGCATTAAATTTTGACTTATATATCCATTTAAGTCTAATTGCTTTGTTTCCTGGGGTCAAATCTACTAACTTTCAAGTTTTATTTTTTTCAATAGCTTGCGGTTCATCATTTACTACTTGCACATATTCTTCCTTCTAACTTACAACTTCAAAATAAGTAGGAAATAAGTAGGTTTTAAAGCAAAACATATAAAATCACTAGATTGATATATCTGTAAAAGACTTCAAAATTTTCTTAAAGGTGTTTCAATATCTAAAATAACTTGAATTAGAATTATTTAAAATATGAGAAGATTCATATCATATATTAATAATAGACACTGTATCATGTGCTTTATCGACATCTTCTTCTATAACTATTAGAATTTTAACTACTTTAGAGTTTCAAACTTTTTCTTCATAAAAAATAAAACTGATTAATTTCTTAACTATATGATCATAAAGTCTAAAACCTTTTATCTTACTATTTATCCCACAAATAAGCATTTAACGCTTTTGTTATCAAGCAACACAACCCAACAACACAACCAAATACCTTTAAATAACTAAAATATGACTTTTTGTTGAATTATACTTCAAAGGTTTTTTTTTTCTTATACTATCTTAATAAAAAAGTGAGTTAATAAATATATAATTATACTCATAGCTTTTGCTCAAAACTCTTTTAGTATTAGTTTTTCTTTAAGCATGCATTTGGTAGTCTTAACTACTCTTCCGTTCTTCTATCCTGCTATTCTATTTTACTAAAAGGAGTAGCCTGTAGTCAATTGCCTATGAATGTTTGTATTCTTACAAAAAAATAAAAAATATTTGGAAGTAAATTTGAACTTTATTAGTACGCGTAGTTTTAATAAAATAACTACTTTATTTTTTCACAAATGCTTTGAAAGTTTTGAAAATATAGAAAGCTTCAACTTTTTCTTTAAAAAAATATACCCACATCATCCTTGTGCAATTATATATAAATGATAAAAATATTTACTTCCACCATATGAGATAGTTTGTATAGACTCACAAATATCTACATGCATAAATCCAATCGCTCTTTAAGAATGGCATGTCTGAAAGAAATTTTTGAGCTATTTTAAAAAAAATATAATATTCACAATAGTATATTTATTCTTAATCTTAAGCAAACCAATTATTATATTCTTATGATTTAATAATTTTAGTCCATAATTTAGATGATCATATCTTTTATGTCATAATGTTGATTCATTAATAATAGTAACAATTAATGCATGTAAGGAGAAATTTAAAAATAATAAGTGAAACATTTTAATTTTTGTAGTCCTCATAGTTGCTATCAATTTTTTTAATTTTATTATCATAAATCAAATATTTTTTCATAAAATAGTAAAATATCCTTTTATCATCAATTGTCTACAATGAGATTTTATTTTAAATCAAGAATAAACATCACTTTATAAATACTTTTTTTTTATCAAATTTGGTATTCAAAGTAATTATTTCTTTCCCTTCCACATGAACATCACTGTTATTTCCCATATGCAGTACAGATCTGATTAAATCATCTTGCATTTTTAATAAGCTTTTATCTCCTATCATATGATTATTATATCCACTATCCAAAAATTAAATAGATCAAGAATTACCTTCATTAGATGTCATAAAAAATATTTTCTTCATCCTTTTTTTACTATTATTTTCTTCATGATAATTTACTTGCTTTTTGTTTCAACAATCTTTTTTAAGATGGTCATATTTTTTTTATTATGAGAGAATAGATGAATATTTAAATTTTTATTTTTATACTAATAATCTTTTTTATTATGTATATTTTTTTTACAATAAAAACATTAACAAGCTTCTTTGTTATCTTTATTGGAGTTCTTTTGACCCTTTTTTACGACAAAAACCTTATCCCCTACCTCGAGTGCTAAATTGTCAATAACTTTTACTATTTTGACCTCTCCCTTAAGATCTGATTTTTGAATTTCTCTTTTGGTCATTCTTCTAATCTATCTCATTTGAAGAGTATGTTTCGAAGTTTCATTTGAAGATCTATTTACTTTTTGTTCATGAACTAAAAATAAGCTCATTAATTCATCAACAGCTAATATAATCTTTAGTTTTTTCTATAGTGATAGAAATTATATTAAATTTTGGAGATAAAATCCATAAAACTTTTTCAACTGTT